ACGTCCCTGTGATATGGAGCTTCCGCGATAGATCTTTTCTTACTTCCGCTATATTTATGTGAAGACTAGGTCTTATTCGTGATGTAATAAACACTTGTGATGATACTATTTATAATTTATCGGCTTATGTGTGTGACTGATCTCTGGACGCACATAAGATTTTGCATCCTATTTTATCCTTAAATTTGGGTGTGACAGATTGGTATCAGATCTGTGTTGACTGCAGGACGCAAGCCTAGTTAGCGATGGTCGTTTTAGCTTCTTTGCTTCACTCATTTCATATTTTTCTATCTCACCCTTGTTATTTGCTAAAGTTTTATGCTTCTTTTGCCTTACTCTATTATGAAAATCATTGCTTCTAATCTAACTAACTAAATCTAATTTGTAGATGCCTCGTGCCAGTAAGACTGTCTGCATCAGCACCGGAGGTTACTACCCGTCTCGTGGTTTGTCCATGGAGCCTGAGGAGGAGGAACCCCTGGAACAAGAATTTGATTCGCCAACACCTATACCTACGCTGAGTCAGTCCAGGAGGAACCCGAAGAAGTCGAGGTCGTCCAACTGTCCGACGATAATGATGAGGAAGACGCCGTTGAAGAGGATGAGCCGATCCCTCCCATAGAATGGACGACAAAGGTCTGGTATAAGCCAGGGTGTGAATCCTCCGTTTCGCACCACCGACTCATGGGCATTCTTCAGACCTACAACGGTGACTGGGATGCAGCTGTGGAGTACGTCTGCAATAAACATATGCACCCTCTAGAAGACACATATTGGAAGACTAGGGTGTGCATCTCCATCAAGGACAAACAGAAAGGCGCATATCAGCTGGATTAGCATAGAAGATGCAGCCGCTGAAGCTTGCATAGGCTTCCGTGGTCGTCGATTCGAGGATATGAAGGATGACCAATATCAATTCCTCCCTCGCCAACATCCGGAATTGGGATGGGCAATGATGCACCCGCAGGGCATGGATCCAACAACTCAAGTGATGGTACACTTTGGCTATGAGTTCGTAGCAAAGATTCGCCGACTGGAGGATCAGTTAAAGGCACAGCAGAAAACCATCGAGAGACACCAACAGGTGATAGATGAACAAAAGGTGTGCCTCAACCTGTTAAAGATGTACAAGGAGCTTCCCCATAAACCTCGCACATAGATGCTGGTGGCCACGCTCATCACGACGTCGTTGTACCAGGCGGGCAGCAACGTTCCCGGTGGCTACTGGCAGGACAATGACGAGCCGGAGCACCGGCACCGCGTGGGGGATACATGCTCTTGAGGTGGTCGAGCTGGATCGGGTTCGGCAGCTCTCCATGGTGCTCACCGGCGTCGCCACGGGGTCGCGCTTCGTGCGCTGGCTCTTCGTCGTCGCCTACTCCACGCTCGTGCTCGATCACCTTCGTCACCTCCCAGATGCACTCCACCGTCTGGTCCGACGTCCTCGTCTGGGTCGCCGTCATGCACGTACGTCGGCGGCGCCTCCTCGACCTCCTTGTCCCGCCAGTAGCCGCCGGCCACGTTGCTGCCCACCTGGTACCACGTAGCCAGCAGGAGCGTGACCAACATCTCATCAAGTAGCCGCCGCCTACGCATTGACCAACATCAAGACGCATCACGGCATGGTCTCTCATTCTACTTCACATGTATGCAATGATCTACGAGGCCGCTGGCGTATACCAATATACTTGTCCTAATCAAAATAAAGGTGAAGTTGTAAAAAATGTTACAAAATCCGGTTTGTCACGAGGTCTGCCCAAATAAAGGTGAAATTATCAAGACGATACAAAATCGATTGTCACAAGGTCTAGAAGTTTCCAAAAAATATATTAAATTTTCTACCAATAAATGTGGACATGATATCATCCACCCAAATCTTCTTTTGCAACCCATGTTCAGGCTTTTTGCTTTTATGTTCTGTATCTATCTAATATATAAAGCTCACTATCTAAAAATCTAATACAATAAAGCTATTCGCTAATTTGATTTACATACCCCACTTATTTATCTAACCTTCCATCAGAATAGCTCTCCATCGGTTCCAAAGATGCTTTCTGCATCAATATGCCTTTGGAGTAAAAAATATTTTCTCATCCTTGGTTGTTCATATATCCCTGTTGAATGGCTAGCCAGTACATAAATATAAGCTTTCAGCTCATTTTGTATTCAAAGTACAGTACTCGCTCTGCTCTAAATTATAAGCCATTTTAAAAAACTATATATATCTAGTTTTATATAGTAAAAGTTATATAAAAAGCCCAGAACGACTTGTTTTTTTTTGGGGGGGCGGGGAATCGATGGAGGGAGTATAAAATAAACTTTCCCAGAACTTGTTCTTTTTTAGCAAAAAAAAAAAGGCTTGTCAGAGCCTGGGTAGCATGGTTGGCCAGTACCGACAAGGAGGTGACATACAGCCCACGCGCCACAATCTTTCACCCGGCCCACGCGGACCGAGCAATAGGCACATGAATGGGCTGGCACACCACCCAGCCCATGTAGCCACGTCGTTCTGCGTGTAGCTCATATAAAAGGCAACCCCCGACTCTGATAGGGTTTTCCTCTCGCGCCGCCACGGAACACCACACTGCCGAATCCCCCACCCGTACCCGTACCCGGAGCAGAGGAGAGGAGAGATGGCGGAGAGGAAGGGAGGAGCGGCGAGAAAGGAGGAGGTGGTCACCAGGGAGTACACCATCAACCTCCACAAGCGCCTCCACGGCTGGTACCTCTCCCCCCTCTGGCCACCTTGCTGCGCGATGCACACTGCTCTCGCTGCGAGATCCGCCTCGCTTGCGAGATTTTCGTTTCGCTACTGATAGTATTTAGGCGCGGTAGCAGGTGGAATTTTTCTATTCGATACTACTCGTAGACAAGATCTCCCGGTTCCGCAGGCCCTGAGGCTCAACTAGTGTATGTCCTATGTGATCAGTTATATCGTCTTCGTACTTTGCATATGAGCACGAGATGAAACAATTCGATGGCCTTTCTGCTTGTGCTTTGTATATTTTTGTAGTGGCATTCGTTTGATATTTTCTTAATTTCATTTGCTAATTACTTGAAAGGTAAGTGTAATAAGCATCTAGCACCACCCTTTATTTCCACTTGGAATTGCAAATTTTGCTACCAGTTAGGAATTGATGGACCTATCTTAAGAAAACATAGCCCGTATATGCTCAATTAACATTCTTATCAGGTAAAGTTTTAGTGACTGTTGGTGCTTTTACCAAACCTATGAACCATGCAAACCTCATGAGACAGTATAAGTTCATTGATTTTTGGCGAGTATAGACTCAAATACTTAAGCATGAATAGAAATTTAGCTGCTTTGATTGCTTGTTCAGCTCATTTGTCTAGAATCAAAATCATCTGTATCCAATGTGTTCGTACATTGTAATATTCATTTCAGTTGCTGAATGCCTATCCAAGTGTCGTCTGATATCTGAATGGCCTATTCTTATTTCTTCTTAACCTTGTACTGTTATTGGAACTGAAGGTTACTGAATGCCATGATCCCACTTTCTTCTTACCAACATTTTCTTATGTTTTGTAGCACATTCAAGAAGAAGGCACCCAATGCCATCAAGGAGATCAGGAAGTTTGCACAGAAGGCTATGGGCACCACCGACATCAGGATTGATGTGAAGCTCAACAAGCACATCTGGAGCAGCGGAATCAGGAGCGTGCCACGGAGGGTTCGTGTGAGGATTGCCCGCAAGAGGAACGACGAGGAGGATGCCAAGGAGGAACTCTACTCCCTTGTCACCGTCTCTGAGATCCCTGCCGAGGGCTTGAAAGGGCTGGGAACCAAGGTCATTGATGAAGCCGATTAAGCTATCACATTGTCTACATCTTTAGAGAGTTCTTAGTTTGTATTTGCAACACCAAACCTTTTGTATCCAAAGAAGTTTTGTACTCTGGTACTGTGATCGACATCACAAAGTTGTCTATTTCCTCAATCGAATTACGTGGCTAGTTCTTTTGTTTGTGTTTACATTCTCAGTTGTGTTCCTTGGATATATGGATATATGTAAATCGTGAGTATGGTTTAGCAACTTCGTGGCTAGGAATCTCCCATTTCAATGACAGGGTGACTTGGAATTTCCCATTTAAATGAAGGGTGAATTCTCTTTTTAGCTGAAACATATGTCCGACAAGCTTGACTAAATTCTTGAGCTGTGTTGTTAAAGATTGAGGACCATTTGTTCACTAGTATTTGTGACGGGAATGCTAATTGATCAGCCATCACAATCCTGGTGGCAGCTGGCTGCAAATGTTGTGGGTTTTTGGTTGGGGGAGAAGACACCTGCAGTGAACTTGATCAGGGCACTATTGTATGATCAAACGCCAAGCTCCACATCAAGTTGCATTGAACTTAATGGATCGGCGCAATCCAAAGTAGCATCTGCAGATGGGGAGTCACCGTCGGCGGCCGCCGTCCGACTCGATTGGTTTCCGTTGGCCAGTCACCATACACTGATATGTTAAGAATAGTGGAGACAGCTCAAAGGTAATTGTCTCAAGTGCACATCAAATTGTTAGGTGAGGAGAATGTCATACCATTATACAATTGTTGCTCAATACTGCGTCAGTATCTTTGCGACACCCTAGAGGCCTACACAACAGTGGCCTCGTAAACATACTTTCATTTCACAAACTTGCACCGTCCATAGTGTTATTCGTATGTATCTGAATTGCTGACTTGCTGCTATACTACAAAAGAGCTACATATATTGGGATTGTGGGAATGTACTGTACAAGAAAGTGTTGCACTTTACTGTAAGGACTGCTGAAGGGCCTACCGCCTACGCAAATAGGCCTTCTTTTGCTCTCACAATGGGGCAGCTGTAGAAGAGATTTTAGGTTTTACAGGTTCATCCATCACCGTTGCTCCAACCATACTTCTCTTAGGAGCGTGTATCTTGTATTCTCCATGGAAACTACTCTCTGAGAACTGAAATGTGCGAAACTGTTTGATGGCGAAGGTGGAGCACTCCTGTCCATTAGGGATGCAAGGGAGAATCCAGGTCATCAAGGTCATCGTCACTGGTATACCCTCTCCTCTGCACCATTGAGGCTTTCCTGTCCAGCTTTGCGCCACCTCCTATGTCTGCCACTTTCTCTGCCGCATCCAATGTTGAAGGTGCGTGGTACACTATAGGAGCAGCGATGCATGGAAACACATTGATCACGTCTTTGTTGGTGTGACGATCCAGCAAGCTCTGCATAGCAGTATATATCAATGCATTTGAGTGATATTGTCAGCAAAGATAATATGTGTAAGGCTGGAGTAGAAAACCAGAGTGGAACAAACCTCAGAATTCAGCTCTTCTAAGACCGTGCTTGGAACCGCATCAGGGCAAAACTCATCTGGGGTGAAGTTGCACAGGATTCTGGTCACTAATTGAAGGCCAATTGAAGGACAGACCTAAGAAAGACATCAAAAGGTTAACCACAACGGAATTGGTGGTTACATACAAGAGGAGACAGTAATGATAATTTGCCAGCTGCTATGCACAAACACCGACCTCTTTCCTGAAAGATTTTTCAAGAAGCATGTCCTTTGGGAGCATCAGGAGATCACTTAGTTCATTAAGCAGTTGAAACGATTTTGTTTCAGCTGCGCCTCTTCTTTCATCTTCAACATCTCCTATGTCCTCAGAATCATCGTCATCCATGCCAAGCTTATCTGTCAGCCATCTGGACCAGTTTCCAGTCTGCATAGTCATTTTATTTCATATAAATTCGTTGTTTGAGGCGAGGTATAATAGCAAGATCCAACTACATTTGTATCTAGTTTTGCTCCTTAGCAAGCTACATCCAGACAAACAACTACATAACAATTACAACAACAACAAAAAAAAAAAAGGAACTGGTAGTAATGCACAAAAAGCGAGCGAATCAGGCACGTACAGAGTTCTTCAGCTGCGCGCCTGACCCAAAGCTTAGATCACCAGCTGGAATTGGTAGGACTTTTGGGTCAACAATTGGGTCAGATATAGGGTCTGTCGGTATCTCACTTGCTGATTCACGAAGGATGGCATTAAACATGGCAACATCCAAACGGGCTACACATTGCTCCATCACCTAATAATGAAGAACTCGTGAAGTTCAGAAATATATTTGCAGTAACAAATAAAATGCTTATTCTTTGAAATTAAGGATGTTAAAAAAATACCAGTTTTGCTAATACTGGTAAACAGCCACACTCATGTCCGCCAGCACGAAGGGGGCACATTCTGCTGAATGCATCGTGAAACGCAGCCTTCCACAGGTTAACAGAAAAGGTGCCCTGCTGCTGATCACCCAAAGCAGGACCTAACACTCTACCAGCCTTTGGAGTTGATGATCCTTCCGCCCGTTTTTGCATGTGAGGAGTTAGTGCCTGGAAGAGAAACATCCTTAAGAAAACTGACAACATGAAGAATCAGAACATATTCAGAGAACAAGTAGCCATAAGAGACAGTGACTTCTTTTTTCTAAAAAAAAACACCAGACTAGGACAGGATGTTCCCAGCTTCATGAAAGTGTCAGTAAGAATGTATTGTCTAAGACAGACATTTACCTGCCACCATACTGTCTCAACAATGCGAGAAAACATCCAAGATTCGATCTTCTCTAATGCAGCCAAAAGTGTACTTGTTTCCTGCCAATCATCTGGCATCTGCATTGTAGCAAGTTTGGCTTGCTTGCCATTGGAGTTGTTTCTCCACAGCATTGTCATAGATTTCCCGTCAAGTTTTTTGGCACCACCATTCATGTTCATAGTCGTCATGGATGGAGCAAATTGATGTGAGATGCCAAAAGTTTGTACAATTATCTCCCTGAGGACAACTGTGTTGGACAGCCAGAATGTCAGCCTATAACAAGAGTAGTTTGTTAGTTAAGAGGATTTTTTTAGGGTAATGCTATGTGGAGCTAAAATTCAGATTAAGCATAGCTAAGTTATACCTCGAAGCATCATTGCTACTGGACTTTGCAACAAGAACAAGACCAGAAGCAATGGTTTTTGCTGCCGAAGCTCTCTTATCTTCAGACCAAAACTTGGATGCATGGATATATAGTCTAGAAAGACGCCGAGCTGGGGTGTGCAACTTATGTGCTGAACTTCCATGCTCGGGCACTACAGAGTACAGAGAAACTTCAAGAGCAGCAACTTCACGAAGTTCCTGTTCCAACTTGTCAATTTTCGACACTAATTCCCCATTGCCTTGACCTACAACTGATTTTTCATGATCAACTACCTTGTCTTCAATATCAGGAGTGTCATCATCAGTACCGGTACTCTGATCACAGTGTGGAGCTTCATCTAACACATCGATCTCCTTAGCCTCCTCAGTCCCTTTATCATCAGCAGTTCCAGCATCACTGATTATATCATCTGTTTCCTCAGACAATTCTGACGGAGGGCGGGAAGGAATTCTTGTAATCTCTGGTTTTCTAACTTCAACAGCCTTAGCAGCACTAACTGTTTTCTTTTGTTTCTGAGACTTGTTCTGTACATTGTTTAATCCTTTATGTTGCAGCTTGTTTTGAGGTTGACGGCTGGCGCTGCTTTTGGTCGTTCTGGGGCTATTATCTTTTGTCTCCTTTTTTACTGAGCTTCCTTGGAACCCGAGACTCACCTTGTGATGAAAAGGAGTCTCTAGTAGGTACATAATCTGATCCAGTCCCCTTCTTCTCATCTCTTCCTCCCCATTATCTCTTGCGCCCCATTTCAGGTACTTCAAATTGTTAGAAACTTGATGCCTGCAGAAATAACAAGCACAGATGGTTAAATTGTTCTAGCAACTTTTGCAAACTGATCAGGCTTACAAAAGCATGCATGTTCAAAAAAAATATAACGCTGATGACACTTGGATCAGAATTAAGAAGAAACAGGAGATCCAGAAAAAGTGCTCATGCTAAAAGGAGAAACCTTCATCAGTAAAGAAAAATGTTACCAACCAAGGAGAATCAGGTGGTTTTTTTATTAAGAAGAAAATAGGTACCTAAATTCTAGTTGAAGAGGACTCAAACCTGGGTGATTGGGTGCATGACCACACCTCCAACCCAACCAGTTAAGAAGATTGACGACGGACACACTAAGAAGTAAAGAAGTGAGAATGCACACCTTAAAAGCGTGGTTACCGATCTGAACTCAGATCAAGCTCACTCTTGCTTCCATCAGATTGAACTCTTGGAACCTTATCAAGGTGCCGACTGCCTAAGGACACGACTGCTAAGAGTTATATTGGAATCCCATCTATGTTAAGGTACTTGATCAAGATTGAGCTGCACTTTGGTGATCCAAGCAGCTCTACAAAATTTAGTGCTAGCTAATGAACAGCAAGATCATCGAATTCAAAAGCTTATCTTAAACATGACTACCAATCAAAATTGCCAAAAGATGGTTACCATAGTAGAGATACGATAAAGTGGGAAAGTGATTAAATTCCCACCTAAATAGGAAAACGCACCACCAAACCACTCTAGTAGGAGTAAACACAGTAGCATCATAGAAAAATTGCCAGACATGCATCAGAAGCCACTCTCTAGACCTTCTTTCCCACACTGCCGGAAATCACCAATCACAACCCAAAGCGGGGTAGGCTGGCCCAGGGCAGGGCCTCCTATAGCGGCAAGGAGCAGGCAATTCAATACTCCGAGTACACGAACAGCTTAAAAGTAGGAGAACATTCCTTCATAAATGCGGACGGAACAGCATCACCAATCCAACCAAACCGCCGCCACGAAATTCTATGGCCGCAACCACCTTGCCGGTAATACGAGAGCGGATCCGAAGAAGGGAATAGTAGCAAGGCAACCAGGAAGCACCGAGGCACCTCGGCTAGGCGCCAGGATTCAGAAATGCGGATCGCGGACTAGCGCCCGTCAGGCGTGATCGTGTCCCCACGCGCGCCCGATCCATCGCAAGAAAAAAAAAACTCAGGAGACAAGCAGATCATCAATGCTGCTGTCGCGGAACACACAAAGGTCCCCAACTAAGGTGGAGCGGCAGAGCTGCCGGCAGAACCCCTCCCCGAAATCGAGAACCCAAGCAAGGGAAAACTTCGAAACAATTTCAAATCCAGCGGGAGCCAGTAACCGCGGCCTAACAGACATCCGGCGGAGGCTTCCGTTCCCCACATAACACGGGAGAGCGAAACCGCTGAGGGGGGCAGTGTGGAGAGAAGGCAAGGGAGGGGCGAGAAGCGAAGAGCAGCGCCTCACCGTCTCCGCGTCGGCCGGCTAGGCGCAATCACCAGCAGCAGACCACACCAAGTTGCCAACCGCCGCGTGATCCAATGCGGAAGCGAGGACGAGCGAGCAGCAGGCCGCCGGCTCAGGATGCGATGCCGACGCCCGCGGCCGGCCGGCGCGCTTCGGTTCGCGGCTGCCCGTGCTGCGTGCGGAGGGGAGATCGTGGTGGGCGGGGGGCGAGCGGGCGGTTGCTCCTCTGCTCTCTGCTCTACTTAAATCCAGCGTCAGGGAGGCGAGTGTGTTGTGTGTGTCTGTGTATATTTTCATTTTCATTTTCATTTTTCTTTTTCGGCTTGGGACTTGGCCTGCTCCGGTCACCGCGTGGTGAGGTGCACGCCGGCAAGTGGGCCCTCTATTTTTTTTTATTTGTCATCAAGTGGACCCTCTTGTCTGTATCGTTGCCGTCTTCGCCGTCCTAATTTGATTTTACATGCAATTCTTTTTCTTTTCAGGCTATTTTTTTTAAAAGCATATTTTCAGGTTTTGGTTTTGAGTTTTAGGCAAGTCATATTGTCGTGCGATGGTTTTCGTATGTTTTCTTTCTTATTAGAAAATTGTTTTTTTTTGTCAATTGGCGAAGTGACACGTCCACAACGACGTCTCAACGACGTCTCTGCCAAGACCACGACCACGCTATGGATTTAGTTTTCTTTTATCAGCATGTTCGCTCGCTCGTATACTATTGTGGATTATAAGCTGAAACGATATTTTTTTTTCACACCAAATCAGCCAGCAATAAATAATCTATGATCATTTACGACGAAACGAACAGGTTGTATATGTCCTCTGATGAATTGTGCGCAAGTAATATTTAACATGTGGTAAATCATACTTTGTGTAGAAAATTCCTCATTAGGCTGTCTCCAACAGGAAACCTATGAGAAGACCCAAATCCAAAATAAATCTCTAACAGAATACATATAGCTTCCAACAGAGTACCTATATGGAATACCCATTTTAGATGTGCTGAGAGGTATAACCCAAATACGAGTATCCTCTCTCTTGAAGACTTATTTATAGAAAGAGTTCTCTTTTGGGTCTTGTTGTTGGAGAAAACCAAAAATATGTATTGAACCCTTTGTCTGTAGTGCTACCGAAATGTGAAATGGGTCTTATATTTTGGGTAACGGTTATTAGAGATAGTCTTAGAAGTATAAAAACTTACATTACCACCAATAGCATTGAAAAAAATTTGTCTTCCCTATCTAGGACCGCTTCAAGTTTTTTTCCTATCTAGCATTTTTGTCAGATTTTAGAGTATATCTTGTTAGGATTCCATTAAGTATATATTATTTTAACCAAAATACTCTTATAGTAAGACTCTATCTTAGAAAAGTTATATCTTTTTCATATAATGCCAGATGAAAATGATTTTTATATAAAAATTGTCTACAATAGTTCCGAGTTTTTTTATTTAGGGCCGTAAGATGTTAAAAAAATAATATACTGTTTCAACACATATTAATCACGTACAATAGCATGTCGCCTTAGAAAAATTATATCTCCCTCGTATGGTGTCATGCAAAGATACTTTTTGTATTAAAATTATTGCTCCTAACGAGATCTATAACTTTTGAGTTTTTATTTTTTATTTGAGGTTATTAAGATGCTAAAAAGTTAATATAAATTTTCAACAGTATATTAATCGACCTGTCTTCTTAGAAAAATATTATCTTTCTTGTATGGTGTTAGATAAAGATATCATCTTTAATTTGCCACCGTATTTCTGAAGCCAATCTATACAAGATTATTATTACATGATGAATAACCACAAAAGAACAAAGAAGCTGTCCTTCGTCAATCTCGAGTGGGTCCTACACACTTCTTTGTCGCCACCTTTGATTATCATCATCCTCTTTTAAATGTTCCTTTGAACCTTTATTCTGCTTCCAAAGTTTCCCAGTCGTGGCAGCACTTTCTTCCTGAATCTTTCCTTACACACATGAACCATGTACCAAATATTTCCACTCAAAACATGAATAATAGCCTTCTTCGTTCGTTTATTATGCTTTGTTGATCACAGATCCTTTTTGTTCAGAGTGTGCATGCATATACTTGTAGAAATAAATGTACATATGTGTATGTAAGCGTCTACGTCTGTACTAGGTTAAAAAAAAAGTCGTATTTAGATGATGCACGAGAAGACATTCAATCAAACATGCTCAGCTGCTCACCTAATTACCTAAGACGACCTACCACCCTGTAGGTGGAAGATGTTTCTCTTCTCCCACTTGCTCCTGTCTTGACCTCACGAAACACGACATATTCTCACACCGTCACACGCCGCTCGTGGTCTGACACGGCGTTGACAAAATGACTCACTTGACAACCTGGGAGTCTTGATCCCTGTAGTATGTGCTGTGCTAGCTGCAGACTTCAGAGGTCAACATCTCAGCACCCCGTAGAAATCTGCATTTTCACTGTATAAATTGGGAGAAAGTGGAGCTAGCTCTCTGTTGGTCAAGCCTGTAGATATATGCCCCGTTCGGCTTATCCCATATTCGGCTTGTTCGATTTCTTTTTTCAGCCGGAACAGTGTTTTTCTCTCACAACAATTCAGCCAGAAGAGTGCTTTTCAGCCAGTTTCAACCAAAATTCTGCCAGCCGAACAGGGCCCACCTAGGTTCAAGTTCTCATTGAGTGCCTATTTTCTTCTTCTTGATAATAATAATGTTAATATCACCAAATTTCTCATAGGTTGCTAAAGTTTTTTTGCAATACAAGTTAGATGTATCTAACTATCATCTCATATAGAAAAAATGTTACATATTATGAGAATGTTTTTATAATTGGGGCTTGTTTGGATGCATATGGCTAGTTACTAGTTGAAGCTAAAAATTAGCACAAATTAGATGTGATTGGCTAACAACTAGTTGAACATTAGGTTAAAAAATTAGCCCACTTATTAGCCCTCCTGTTTGATGTATTAGAGCTAATTTTACTTAATTTTTAGCTAGCTAGCAATTAGTTCGTGTATCCCAACAGTCTCTTGGTATTTATATGGCAGTCTTATATTTTGAAAGAGTAGTCGTAGGTAAAATTGTTTGACTTAGGACCAACAATCTAGATGCACTGTATTTTTTATCTCACAAAATAACTACAGTTGTTTGTAATTCCTAAAAAACTTTATTATTTGTACATAATCACTCGGTATGGCGTCTCTGGTCTCCACATGCATGGCGATTGGCATGGCCTCTGTCTCCCTATAAACCGCTAGGGGTGGAGCTGGACAACACTAGTACACTATTGTTATCATCACTCACTCCATGTTCCATGTTCCATGTTCCGTGCTACCCAATCATGTCGCCGAAAGAAACCAAACAAAAGAACGTATTGTCACTTGTGCTGTTGTGCAAATGAAAAACAAAAAAAAACAAGAAAGAATAAAAAAGCGACCCTCCCCCTTTCCTTCTCCAAGCATCTTTCATTTCATTTTATATATATACATTGCATATATATAATAAAAAGAGCGGTGACCTGACTCCCCGATGCGACCAAAGTGGCAAAAGTGCCGTGCCGGATGCAACCGGGAGAGAAGCTGTCGGTGGTGGTACAAGCCACCGGCCACCTCCGGTAGCCGTGCGTATCAGAGAATTTGGCTTATGTTCGAGTGCTGAGACCGATCGACCAATCACCACTCTGCCCACGGCGAGCCGCCGGCCGGCCGCCACGGCCGCAACTGGGACATGGCAAGCCGGCCTTGCCTTGGTCTTGTTCTCTCGCCCAAAGTTGCCATCAGATGGCATGGCGCCATGGCACCTGCTCGATAGGACACTGACTTGGGTTTATGACGGAAACGAGCTCTCGAGAAACAAATCCATGCCCAATTAAACAAATCCATGCCCAACAACCAAGCTATCGTGTCTCGTTAAGGATGTAAGGTCGCCAGCAATGCTGCTCAGAGTCGACCGGATTGTGCCACGTGGGCCCCCTGCAAATAGACCATTTGTATGCTTCGTGTGCCAACAAACCCCACACAACAGATCGTCTATGCTGACGGTCGGTGAGAGGGCCTTTTCAGTTCTCATTATCATAGTCTGAAATTAAAACATGGCGTCCATCCATCATTCCATCCTGACAAAAGATGAGGCTTTGGAAAGAAAAAGAAGAAGAAGCATTGTTTAGATGCTTGGAATCATACGTGCACTGAGCAAGCACAAGCACAGAAATGGTGGTGTCTGGTGAATGGACGCACTTACAAGTTACTACCACAGAAACTTCGTGCCCAAACAGCTCGCCAGTGATGATCAGCCATGTCGCTGCTGGATACAAAGACAGCAACAGGAGTAGGTAACTGGGTACTGACTGACTTGGAGTCACGTTTCAGTAACGTTTGGAAGGTGAAGGCAAACGCACGGGCTGACAAGGCCACCGCATGCGCCTGCGCAAACACAGCAGCAGAATTATGGCTAGGAAAGCAATGTTTCGTTTACCTCCATCAGGGAGATGAGCAGAGACGAGCTATACTACATGTACATATCCGTTGGAGCACCATCATGACGGATCCACAAGTGAGTGCATGCAGTAGGATGGGGCACAAAATTGAAGGGAAAGTACAGGTAACACATAAGAAGATGGAACAGCAAGACGGCTAGTGATGATTCTACCCACCCTTTAGTTTCAAGTATATGTTACTTTGAGAATACATGACCAGCCAACGGGCAAGACTAGCAGTAGCCAGTAAACCGAGAACTGTCATCATATCTGCACCTGCATGCATTTTGCAGGATACATCCCCCATCCCATTTGAAACCTTTCGCTTATGCTGGAATTTGGCTTATGCTGATGCTTATGCTGAAATGTTGTGAGAGCAAAACACTGTTCGTTCGCTGAAAAGTACTGCTGAAGCAGTGCAGCAGAACATGTAACGATCTGTTTGAAAACAGCTGTATGTAACTTGCACTTAGGGACTGTTCCTGAAGACAACATCGCTTAAACTGAAAGACAATAAACTTCACTTACATGCTGAAAAGGGTAGGAGATTAACAACCAGTGAAATCAACTCAACTATGTGAACTGTCCCTCGACGGCACCATAGCAACTACAGTCCATCCAACTCTATCATTAGGTCAGATATTAATGTCACAGCTTGGTTCATTACTTTCGGCTACAAACTGTAAGCTTGTGACATAAGTTGCCCATATCCAACTTTAGAAAATTAGACACCAATGTGCCTTATCATGATGTAATAAATATCTGATAAAGATCTTTAAAAAAAATATTTGATAAAAAAGAACAACACCTCTTTATAAAGAGAACATGCCTGCTTCCATTCTCTGCAAAGGTTAAAATTTGTAATCAGCTACTAGCAAAAATATAGATGTGTACGGACCAACAAAAACTCTCTATCTCATTGAAGCATAAACATTCAATATAATAAATCTCCATCAAAGTGATAAATAAGCCACCCCATAGACTAAGGTTAGTATGCGGTAACGTTAAGAAAAACAAACTAGTAAAGTGATAGGTCTTTATTTGTTAGACCAAACATATTGTGAAATCAACTCCCAACTGGCAAGTACCGTGCATAAGAAATGTTAATAATAATAAGCAATGCTTAGATGCAATCACTTAGGATATGTTTGGTAAGTTGCTTGTTACCTAACAGACTGTAAGCAAATAAAATAATCATTGCTGTCTTCATTCAACAATTAGCCACATGTGCATGTCATACTGAGTATTTAACAATAGGTTACCTAAACCCTAGCATCATAACGGTGCGATTAACCCCTTGACTAATTCCCTTAATCAGCCAGTGGCTCGCAGGCTACACACAGCGTGTGTTCTCGCGTGGCAACACAGGATGACATGAATGGCCCATCAGGCCTTAGACAACCGACTTCCTAAGCAGCTTGAGCACTTGAGGGGACGCCTCGAGACGAGCTTACGATCGAGCCCCCAGGCCCAGGGGCTTGATAGGTTAGTGTCCGATCGAGGAAGGCGGGGAATTGTAAGCTCTCGTGGCATCGTCCCGACCAACAACCATCCACCTACGGCAATGTAAGGAATATTCTGCCAGGTTCTGACAAAGTCCCAGAGTCTGAGAAAGTCCCAAAGCCTGATACGCAGGCAGAGCCACAGGGCTCCAGGCCCTGCCGGAGCTTTGTCTCCTAGGCCCAGCGAGGCCATGTCGGCCACTACCGGTTCAGGGTCACGCTCGGAGCATGACACAACATGACAATGGCGCGCTTGCCATCCTTGCTTAAGGAAGAAGATGGACACGTGGGCCCCTTGATCTGTCTCTCCCAAGGACATGCCCTCCTCTTTGAGGGTGAACTCAGGTGAGACAACGATATCTTTGGGCTCTGAGAGTCAATTCTAGGCTACTGCAGGCGGTGTCAAGGATGGTTCAACGTTGTCAACAACGACCACTAGGGAAGGGGACGCCGCCAGATGCCGCCAACGACTCGAAAATTAGGACATGAAACTGTAGCACTCCCTTGGTGGCCAAGGGAGCTTCCAGAACCCATGCCTCTTGTACTCATCTTGCCCTCATAGGGTAGAGGCTCCCTTAGAGGGGACGAATCCAAAAAAAACCCTAGATCACTACTAGCTAGCGCTTGCCTGCCATCTCTATTTCTCTCCTAAGAACTGGATTGAACATTCTAACATGAAGAACTCGCTACTAGAGGTAGGGCTTAGGATAAATCTTTGTGTCTTACGAACCCACATGTCAACACACTGATCCATCCACTAATTACTCATCGTGGTTATGAACCCATGACAGTTGGCGCACCGTGACACCCCAGGTGTCAGCTTCAAGTTAAGCAGTGGGATAAGCCTAACCCGAACAAGACAGAGGATGATTATGAGCTTTAGTTTAACACTCTACAAAGTGATGACAATGGTGGAGTCAAACTCTTTCAAATGAAGACCTAACTTGATCTTTTCAAAAGGCAGAAGCAAGCCTCTTTTGATTAACTTGAAATCCTTTTCAAAGTAGGCATGAGTAGTGTTAATCATGTCTCTTTCATCTAAGTTAGTAAAACCTTGATCATGATCATCGTCATGTATAACCATCAAGCTTTGTGTTATATATGGATGCCATGTTTCCATTATAGTATATACATGTTGCATATGTTTTATTATGTGTGACCATGTAATGTTAGCAATAATATTGATTAAGGTTCTTTGTGATTTTATGGTTTGTAATTTCCATAAACAAATCAAATTTTGTCAATATAAACTTTGAAGTGCAAAGTGTGTTATTTAATATGGAATCAAAGTTTGTTTGTGTTTCCAAGTCAAACATGTTAAATTTGAGCTTCAAAAATTGAATTCAATAACTGTTTTTCCTCACTTTGGCATTTTGGCTAAGTTCTGAAAAACAATAATTAGGTTCAAAGTTTGGTGAATTATTAAATCAATTTTTATGAATAAAATTTGTGCAACTTTAGTTCTATGAATTGGTATGAAGTTTGTACTTTGATATCGTGCCTTTGGTTGTAATGTTTGAGTAGTAATTAATCCTTAATTAATTGACTAAAGTATGCTAATCAAAACTATTTTCCAATTCTGAAAACTGAACCTAGAGTTTCAGTTTGGTTTACATGTTTTCAAAATTACTTATCCCTTAAACTAGTGATCTTTTGAGGTTGATCCTTTAAGTAAAGTTGGAGATCGGAGGTAGATTAGAAACTTTTGTTAATGGAGACCGTCAAGTTTTTGTTTGGAATCGTGAGAAAAGAAGAGAAGAGGGCCTTGAGTCATGAGCATAATAACCCGACAACAACAGACTTACTTCTCGCTTTCACCGCCAGTCGCTGTCATCCGCGTGTCCTTCACGGCGCTTCTCGCCGCTGGACACGCTGCGACCGTCCGTGTGGTCGAGTTCACGAAGGTGCTGGCGAAGCCTGAGTCGTCATTATCGCCCTTAAAGCCTCGACGTCGACGCCTTCTCTCTCTTTTTTCTCTCTTCTTCTCTACCACCGGCCGATTTCACCGCCGTCGCGCCGCCTCCGCCCAATTGCTCTCGCAACCAGCTCCGTCTTGTCCTTGCGCGCCGCTTTCACCCACTTGCATCGCCTCTCGCCGTTGTAATCGGTCACGCGTCGATTCCTGCCGCCGCGGTCCGCCATGGCCGCCGCGACCCCCTCATCGTGGCCAGCTCGCTCCTGTTGATCTCCCTCCTTCTTCTCCCTCGTGCTGTGTTCCTTGTGATGTCGTGATACTCAACGGCTCGCTCGTTTTACCGTTCATCCATAGGACACGCCGAAACGCACCGTCGCCACCGGTTCACGCTGCCGCGTTCGCCATCATCACCGGCAGTCGCGTTCGTGCCATCTCCGCTTCGACTGTCGAGTCAACTGAGCTGTGGTGAGCCTCGCCGAGCTATCCTGAACCCTATCTAGGCTAGTTGGTCGCTGGAGACGGTGAGCTCGCCTTTGCCATCGTCGTCGTGCCACCATAGTTGCACCGCTGCTCGTTCGGAGCTACCGCTGCGAGCGCCGCCTAGATAGATCAGCGCGGGAGAGAGTGGTGAGCACACCAGTGGTGGTCCCGTCGCTGACAACCTCACCGCCGGCGAGCTAGGGCCGATTCCCCATGGGTGCTCTGCTCTATGACGAGCGAAGGACCGGAAAAAGTAAAAAGAGAGAAGGGTGGGGTGTTAAGTGAGAAGGAACTGAGGGAAACAAATAGTTGTTTGGGATTAATTTTGATTTTGTAAAAACACAAGGGCCTTTGTGTAAAATCACCAGGCCTCGCCTGCTCGCGCCGTTGGGCCGAGCTAGGCCACTTCGAGCCTGAGTCCCTTTTCTTTTTTTAGTATTTTATTAATTTCTATAAATGTGCTGATTCTTGTAAAACGCATAACTAAATGTAGAAAAATGCTAAAAATGTGAAACTTGTTTTGTTGGCTTTGTGATAAAGTGCCCTATGTGATAAAAATAATTGTTACCATAAAACAGTAAATTTTTGTGTGCTAAAAATGCAATAATTAATATAATTGAGTTTTGTTGCCTAATTAGTGAAGCAAAAAATATAAGCCCAAAAATGATGAAACTTTTTGTGAATATCAATTACGTTAGTTTATGTCTCTGCGAAGAGTTTCATGCTGATTTTGATCAAGTTAACTTGTTTAATTAAGTTAAGCATGCTTTATGCTTTTTTATATGATAATAAGTACTTAGATGTTAATAGGTGTTTTAGATAGTTTCTATGAGTTCTTTGAAATGCCTATGAGATCTTGTTGATATGTTAACATATTTGAAACTAGTATGCTTTATGTGAATTAGAATCTTTGCCTTCTCTACCGGAAAAGAGATATGCACCTACTCGGTAAAAAGAATTAAAATTTGATCACCGTCTTTCCACTTCTGTGTTGTAAGTTTAGTAGTAGAACTTTGATCATGGTTGGTATGGCTAGATTTGGTGTTGCCCATATCAGCCCTAGTGCTTCAAATAATATCTTGCAACGCTGATTTTTAATTGGACAACA